CCGACGTCTCCCCTCACCCACTTTTCTGTTGTCCGTCCCCCAGGGAGGAGGTCACATGTAGTCCCTTGTAATCGGTTCCCTCCTTCCTATCCACTCCGCTTTTCATCAGCATGCACCGCACCCGCACTTGAAGCAGACGTGCCCCCGCAGCTCTTCCTGGTCCTCCCTGGCCCTGTCGTCCCAGTTTGCCCAGGAGAGAAGCCGGGCCTGGAGGGGGGTACCCGCGGAAGTCATGGGGTGCTTGGAATAGAGGGGGCGCAGCGCCAAGCATCACAGCGGGACCCAGCCACGCGGAGGCATCTCGGAGGACCACCGCCTAGGACATGCCCCGCTCCACAGAGCAGTTCTGCCTGTCACTCTCGTGGGGTGGGGGTGGGGGGCAAGTGTCAGCCCAGCTGACTCCGGGAGAAGGGAAACGCGTCATTGTTTTAGGGGTAGCAAGTTTCTGTTTAAGACGGCGCTGTGGACTGGGCACTGGGCTGCGAGCAGCAAGGTCGATGCTTCAAACCCACCCCAGGGACACCCCAACCGATGAGACTGTTGTCTCCACAAAGATTTCTAGCCTCAGAAAGCTACGGAGGGCCATTCTGACTCAAACAGACTTGATGCAGTAGGCTTGCCCGTTTATTTTTTGAGTTCATTAGTTTATGGAGGGTTTTCTGTTAGTTGGGTCAACGGGTTAGTTGCTGGGCTGCTAACCAACAGGTCAGTGCTTTGGACCTCCCAGCCCATCCTCAGAGGGAAAGAGGTACAGCCCCGCTCCCTCCACAGCCGTGGGTGGTCTCAGTCCGGGTTTCTGTTTACAGCAGTGGTGAACTTGGTGAGCACTTCACTGTATGATTACCGTCATGAGTACCACTCTGGCGGTCAAGTGGAGAGCCTGACATTGGCCTGTGCTTGGTCGCATGTGTTTCAACAGTGAAACAACGTTGCGCTTGTGTACCCCTGTACCCCGTGCACAACAAACGGAAACACCACCAGGCCCTGCGCCGTCCACACAATCGTGCCCAAGCCCATTGACGCAGCCACTGTGTCCACTCATGTCTTTGAGGACCTTCCTCTCTCACCGCCCCTCCACTTGACCCAGCACGATGTCCTTCTCCAGGGACTGGTCCCTCCTGACGGCATGTGCAAAGTACGCGAGATGGGAAGCCTTGCCATCCTTGTGTCTTAGGAGCACTCTGGCTCGACTTCTTCCGGGACAGATCGGGTTGTTCTTTCCATATTCTTTGCCATCACCTTCATAAACTCCTGTAGTAAAACTTCCATCGTCGGACGTGCTGTCAGTGAGTTCTGCGTGGCGCCGTTCTGATCAGAGCTGTGGAGAACCGTGATCCGAGCAGAGCCGTGGAGTGCCCTGGGAGGGGGGTGGGTGTCAGTCAGGGCAGGTGAAGGAGGCTGGAGGGTGGAGGCACCTCTGACCCCTGCCTCGTGGCTCCTCAGCTTGTGTAGCCAAAGGTGGTCAGATGCGGACCCTGCGCCTCCTCAGGGCCCTTGGTGCCCCTCACGGCATTAACTTCTGGACGTTTCCCTAGGAGATCTCCAGGCTGAAAGAGTCCCTGCAGGAGAAGGAGAGGGAGGCACAGGAGCTGACGGAGGCCGAGACAGCCCAGCAGGCGCGGGCCCGGGCCACCAGCCACGTGCTGTGTCGCTCCCTGGCCGAGGAGGCCCACCAGCTTCGGAGGACGCTGGCCGCCACCGCCCGGATGTGCCAGCAGCTGGCCCGGTGTCTGGAGGAGAGGCAGCGAGTGGCAGGGACCGAGACCCTCGAGGAGGAGGTGGGCCATGCGGTTTCCTGTGCGGCGGCTATTAACAGCAGTCATGCCAGTGGGAGCACCAAGGACAGTCCATGTGGCTGGCAGTCCGTGTCCATGGTCACGTGGCATCTGTCTTCCGGCCTGTCCCTGCTTCTGTGCCTAGTCTGCTCCTTGTAGGTCCCTGGTGGCGCTGCAGGTTAGCTATTGGGCTGCTAACCGCGAGCCTGGGTGTTCATTTGCAGTCTGCTTCCCTAAAGATTCGACCTTCGGGCAGTTCTACTACATTCTGTAGGGTCGCTGTGGTGGGTTTTAGTTTGTGTCTGCCGCCAACCACAAGGTTGGAGATTCGAACTCACCGGCTGGGAGAAAGATGAGGCTGTCTGCTCCCATGAAGACGGACAGTCCCAGAACCCGTCAGGAGCAGTTTATTCTGCCCTCTATGGTCGCTCTGAGGCAGAGTGGACTTTATGACAGTGGGTTTGACCTCACAGATGAAGGGACCAGGTGGCAGAGCGGCTAAGCTCTTGGCTGCTCACCGAAAGGTAGGCGGTTTGAGTCCACCAGCAGCTCCGTGGGAGAACGATGAGGCCGTCCGCTGCTGTAAAGGTTTGGGCCTCAGCAGTGCCGAGGAGCAGTTCTACTCTGTCCTGCAGGGTTGAGGAGAGACAGACTCACCTCCCTGATGGCCGGCTTTATTTTGGGTCTGCACGGAGCCCTTGGGGGTGTTGTGGTGAATGTTGGCCTGCTAACCGCAAAGTCAGAAGTTTGAAACCACCAGCCGCTAGGTGGGAGAAAGAGGAGACTCTCGGCTCCCATTAAGAGTTGGGGTGTCGGGAACCTCCTACAGGGGTGCTGGTCTTCAGAATGCACTGAGGGCCATGGGTCTGACCTGGGCTATAGGCTCATTAGCATAGCCCAGAACCACTCCTCCCAAACAGGGCCAGTCATAGCGAGCGAGCGGGGTGAGGACGGCTTCACCTATTTAGGGGGACACAATAACCGAGTCAAGCAGCAGGGGTGACTGCTCCCTCTCCCGTGGCTCGTCAGATGGCCACACCGTCGAGGTTCCCAGGAAGCTTGCCAGCTGTGGGGGCAGAATGAGGAATAGGAAGGGAGGGTGTGTCCCACCCCCACGCTCCCAGTCAAGCTTCCTGGTCTCATCTGGATTGAGGGGGAGGGGGAGGAGGAGGAAGGGCCAGGCGGTCAGTGAGGAGACCCATACAAGTGAGGTCCTGAGACCTTGGGTGGGCTCTGCTTCTGAGTCCCTGGCTGTAGCAGGTGCGGCCCTGGGGTCCCAGTAGATGTGCATGCTCATGGCCTGGAAGCTGGGCCATCTCGCCCAGGCCTGGCTCCCTTGTTATCCTGACGGCCCCTGTTCTGGATGGCCCTGACACAGGACAGGCAGAGCCCGCCCGTGGGGGCTGAGGGGTGTGCTCACAGTGGGTGTGTGAGGCAAGCTGGAGGGGCTCCACTGAGGAGGTTCAGTGTCAGGAATTGCACGGGTGGAGCCATGGGGGGGTGGGGGCATCTGGACATGGGTGTTGGAAGTGGGATGAATCGGGTTGGACATGTGCCATCCGTCTGTCCATCCATCTGTCCTTGCTCCAGCATGCCAGGTACTCACAGCCATCTGGACTGGGCAGCCGAGGAGAAACCAAGCTGGGCCTGGTGGGGCCTCATCCCTTCTCTTCCCTCCCGGGACAGCCCCGTGGGTCCCCACCGCAGAGACCAGCTTTCTGACGGAATCTTCCAGGAGTTGGAAAAGTTCCCTTGTGGTCTGCGGGGGTGGGGGGCCGCCGCGAGCAGCGGGCTCTGTGAAAAAGGGAACTTCAGGAGGAACAGAGGCTAGGCTGCAGGGAGCTGCCCGGGGAGAGGGCACAGCCGGGCCCTGAGTCACCATGCCCCCCCCACCCCCGTGGGTGTCCCTGCGTGCCAAGGGCCAGGCACAGCTTCGTCCTCAGTGGCCTCCTTCTGTGCCATGCTTTGCGGCCACTTGAAACTCTGTGCACCGCCCCACTGCACTTCCTGGCTGTCGCTCCCGTCCAGTGGCCTTTGGGACACCAGCCTGACCCACAGCCTTCAATTCTTCCCCACCCCACCCGACTGGGCGAAGCTGAGGAACTTACAAGTGACTCCCACATGAGGGCGCAGTGGGCAGAGGCAGTCTCACGGCAGGGGGCTGGGCGGTCACAGGGTGATGCCCCAGGCTCACCACACCCCACGGCCCCCGCTGGGTTGGAGCAGGGGATCTTAGCTCAGAGCCAGATGTACTGAAGACCCCAGCCCCCAGGCTCCAGGAGGCGGCAGGTGACCTACACAGCCGGGCTGGTGACACAGTGGCCCCTCTGTCTCTTCCTCCCACAGCCAGGGCCCCTTGGTGGGGACGCTGTCCTGCAGGCTGAGGTGGAGAAGTTACGGGAAGAGAACCAGCACCTGAAGGCCAAGGTCACTCGAGTGAGTGCCCTGCCTCCGTGCTGGCCTCTGAGCCTGGCCAGGCCCCGGGGCCTGCCTTCCTGGCTGCCACCCTGCACGCCCACCCTTGCCTTGCTCTGGGGATGCAGGAGGCAGGGGCTCTGCCCGGTGGGGGTGGGGTGGCAGGCATCCCTTCAGTTGCCTGGTGTTGCTGTGGGGTTCCTGGGTGAACCTGGGGCAGCACTCACTGACAGGACCAGCTGGCCCTCCTGCCCAGGGGTGGCCTGGCTAGCCCTGAGCGCGGCTGCTCCCCGGGCCCCAGGTGGAGGACCTCAACGCCAGGTGGCAGCGGTACGATGCCAGCAGGGACAAGTATGTGCGGGGGCTGCAGGCCCTGGGCCAGCCAGACCCACCTTCTGCCATGCACCTGCGGAACGAGGTGGCCAGGCTCAGCCAGCAGCTGCAGGAGGCGCTTAGCCAGCAGGCCCAGGCTCAGCGGGAGCTGGTGGCTGCTTGGGGGTCCCGAGATGCCGCGCTGGAGCGGGGGCAGATGCTGGAGCAGCAGGTGTGTGTGCACGTGTGGCAGGGATGGCGCTGGGCGCTCAGCTGGCGGGTGGCTGGGAAGGATGGGGTACTGCTGGGTGAGCATTGGACAGATGCATGGCTGGGGGACTGGGCGGGTGGGGGCTGGGACCCTGCTGGACAGGCAGTGCTGACACCCAGGGGGAAATAGGTGGGGGCCACGCTAGCTGCCTCAGTTGGGAGGCAGGGAGACCAGGACATCTGGGTGGGCAGTGGTGGACCCCCTGTGGGTGAGAAGATGTGGTGGTCTCCCCGCACACAGCTCCTTGTGTACAAGGATGACTTCTCATCGGAGCGGGCGGATCGAGAGCGGGCCCAGGGCAGGATCCAGGAGCTGCAGGACACAGTGGCCTCCCTGCAGGACCAGATATCCAGGAGACAGGTGCGCCCCGGTATCAGCACCCACTCTGCCTGGCTCGCCCCCGCCATGTGTCTGGTCTTGGGTTTTCGGTGGGGGAGGGTGTCAGAGGACCGCCTGCATGAGGCCTCACCTGCTGCCCCACCTGGGTGTCCAGGTGCTTAGATGAGGGCAGGGAGGGGATGGAGTGACCCTCAGTGAGGTCAAGCTCATTTGGGCTGTCCCCATCCAGTGGGCACCTCCCAGGGGGCCTGCAACAGGTGGACGAACACCCTGAAACTGTGGAGCCTCCCATCCTCTCGGAGATAGTCCCTGCCCTGTTCCCCGAGGATACGTGTGGGGGGGAGGCCCAGACCAGCGGCATCTCTCCCTGTGGAAAAAGGGTTGGGGACCATGGCTAGCTCCTGTCCCCTGATCCTCCAGGTTCACAGAGAGGTGCCTGGTTGACCCCAGGGTGGCCCTACCCACTGCCTCAGACAGGGTTCTGTGTGTCCCCCGGACTGGACATAGGTCAGCAGCCTCTGTGCCTGCCATCTGGCTTTGGATGGAAGTGGGCCTTGTGTCTCCTCATAGCGCAGGCAGGGCCATAGCCAGATACTGAGAGCTGGCCAGTGCCCCCTGCACTCAGAGTGGGACATGGGGTTGAGGGGGCAGTGCTGAGCGCCCCACCCCCTGCAGTGAGGAGGAAGTGCAGGGCAGGGTCCACCTGGCCCCAGAGCAGGTGGGATGGGCCCTGGAGCTGGCCTCCCTCCCCTCAGGAGCCCCAGGCTGGTGGCTTAGACACCTGGGACCCACGTCACTAGCACCTCGGAAGCTCTGGGCCCTGGACACGGGGAGCCTGCTCGTGGACCGAGCACCGCGCTGTCCTGTCCCCACCCCCACAGAAGGCGCTGCCTTCTCTTCCAGGACACCTGGGGGCCGGACTTGGCGACTGAGGCCCCAGCACAGGCGGTGCTGCTGCCCTCACGGCCAGAGCCGCCCACAGGCCCCAGGGGCCAGGGAGACCTCCAGTGTCCCCACTGCCTGCGCCACTTCAGCGACGAACAGGGAGAGGAGCTCTTCAAGCACGTGGCCGAGTGCTGCCAGTGAGCAGCCCCGCCCTGTACCCGCAATGCCCGCCCTCCCATTGGCCACGCTGTGCTGCCGGCTTCCGACATCCCTGCCCACGCGCCTGCGCAGGCCCTGGACGGGACGGGCCAGTCTGGGGAAGCGCCTGTGTTGTCAGGGGCTGGGGGTGCTGAGGCCTGTGACAGACTGCTGGGGGCCTGGCACTGCTCAGGCAGGCTCCCTGAGGGTAAAAACCGCGTTCATGCCCCTCACTGGCTTCAGCATTTAAGGCAGGCTCCCTGAGGATAAAAACCGCGTTCATGCCCCTCACTGGCTTCTGCAAGGAAATGCTGTCGCTGGGATTACCGCTGTACGGGCTGCAGTGTCCCAATGTGTCCCCCAGGGGAAGGGCTTGGCCACCTGCCCAGGAGCCGGTGATGGATAGCTCTGCTTACCAGTCTCACCTCCCAGTGGGCATGGAGGGGCTGCCTGGGCCTTTGGGATGGGGCACACTGGCCATGTAGTCTGTGCTGCTACTGATCAACTGGACCAGCCTCCCTGCCCTTGTCCCCTGTGCTCCAGGCAGCCTACAGAAACTGGGGGCAGGTGAGTGGAGGTGCACCGTGTGGACTGGGGGCCTGGATGCTGGGGAACTGCACTTAGCAGATCCCAGGGCCCAGGCAGGTGCGGTGACCTGACGTCAGGATGGGGCCAGCCTCTATCAGCACAGCCAGACCACGCAGAGAAAGTGGTCTGGGAGAACACTGGCTATACACGGAGGGTCTGACTGCCCGATGGTGGGATCCAGCTCCCCTCCCCAACTGCTCTTGAACAAGGCCCGGCCCTCTTGTCCTGGTGGCGAAACTCCACCTTCCTGTGTCAGTGTCCCCATTGTGTGGGGGATGGCGTACCTTTCAAGGCTCCCAGGGCTTTCGGGCCAGCAAAGGGCCAGCTCTGCCTAGACGGGGTTGGGGATTCCAGTCTGGCTGGCTTTAGAGCCTTGCAGTGCCAAGATGATGAAAAACTCTTGTATTTATTTAAAACGGACTGTAATAAGTTCAGGACACATCCTGTAACCTGTAGGGTAACCACTGAAACAGTCATAAAAATACTTAACTAAAAAGTATGTGGAAAATATTCCATGTTGTGTGTGTGTGTTTATGCTTAAGCCAAAGTGTGACAAGGTAGGAATAAGGGAATAAGATGGAAGAATGAAACAAACCGCAGACAAGCCCAAGAATATAAGCAATTACATAAAATATGAATGGACCAAACACACCAGTGGAAAGACAGAGACTGTCATATTGAATAAAAATAACCACAAAGGATGCTCCTTAAAGACGGGATGGAAATGATGGACAAAGTAGAGTCCATGACAGCACTGACCAAGAAAAGGTGTGGGTGCCTGACAGACAGGCAGCATGGACATGAAGCCAGCACTACTGCCAATAAAATAGTGGACGCCGTCGAAGGGCAAACGCAGAAGGGATATGCAACATTCCCAAAGGTCTCCTTGCTGTTACTAGGTGCCGCGGAGTCCGTTTCAGACAACGGCACGAAGCCCCGTCCAGCCCCGCACCAGCCTTACATTTGTTACGGGTGAGCCCACGTCTGCAGTCACGTGACGACCGACCTCCTGGAGGGTCTGCCTCTTTCCACTTGGCTGACCTTCTACTGTGCATGGCATCTTTTTCAGGGACGGGCCCCTCCAGATGACACCCAGAGTACAGGAGCTCTTACTGCCCTCCGTACTCTGGCGGTGCTTCCGAGACAGATCCCTTTGTTCTTACGGCAGGCAGTCCAGCGTACTTGCCACACTCTCCCCAGCACCATCATCTAGAGGCTCGGCTCGTCATCAGTGTCCCCCTTTCACTAGTGTGGGAGGTGACTGAAAATACCATGACTTGGAGCAGATGCACCTTAGTCCTCAATGGGAGCTCCTCCCTCGACAGGACTTCAAAGAAGTCGCATTGTGCAGCAGAGAGGTCCAGGGCGATACCTGATTGTTCGGGGTTTTTTTGGTTTTGTTTTTGACTGCTGCTTCTATGAGCTTTGCTTGAGGATTCAAACTTGTCTTTTCCCTGTATGTTGTCTATTGGTCCAGTTGGAGGGTTTCTTCCCTTTACACAGAGTTGGCAATCTAGGCCCAAGCTTCAGTCTTCGATTTTCATCAGCAAGTGCTCCAAGGATCTCTCGCTTGCAGCAAGCACAGTGTCATCTTCACCCCCAGGCTGTTAACAATCAGAGTCGAGTCTGCTTCTTACCCCCAGCACACAGGCTGAGATGGGTGGAAGGCTGACACCCTGGGCCACACCTTCCCGACGTGGTACACTGACTGCGTGGTTTTTGGTGTTGTTTGTGCTCATCTCTCGCTCCTTCCTGCAGCATCCAAGATGCAACTTGAGACTTGAATGTTTTCTGCATCTCTTTCCCTTTCAGGCAGTGGAGCATGCTCATCTTTTTCATTTTCTAACTCTAGGTCCTTGCACATTTCAAAGTAATATTTGACTTTGTCTTCTCCAGCTGCCCTTTGAGAACTTCCTCTTTAGCTCTTTGATGTCATCTTTTCTTCCACTTACCTTAGCGTCTCGACGAGTAAGAGCAAGTTTGAGTCTCTTCCGACACCCATGTCACCCTTCATTTCTTGTCTTTTTAATGGCCTTCGGACTTCTCCACATGGGTGTCCCTGCGGTCCCTCCCACCGCTCATCACGTCTTCTGTCACCAGTGCTCTCTGTGTCAGATCTGTCCCTGAAATCCAGGTGAGACAGGCTCAAGGGCCTATTTTAGCTCTGGTGGATCCGATTTCATTTCCTTCAGCTTCACCTGAACTTAGTATGACAGCTGCTAAGTCTGCTCCACAGTTGGTCCTTGGCCTCGTCTTGACTGCTGACGTTGGAGTTTCTCCATTGTTTCTTCCTACGGGTTCAATTCGATAACTGTGTAGCCCATCTGATGAGGTCCCAGGGTGCAGTCACTTGCTCAGTTGCTGGAAAAAGGTACTTACATAAAGAAGCGATTCAGTGCTCTTGCAACATTGTATCATGCAACCCTCCACGTCTTTTCTATCACTAAAGGCTATTTTTCAACTACCGGAAGCTTCACTGAAGCCTGTTCACTTGGGTGACCCTCCAGGTATGTGATATACCAGTAACCTAGCTTCCCAAGTGACAGCTACACACAAACCACCACCGTCCAACAACCTGGCTGTCAAGTGATGGGCTGTGGAATTGGGGATTCTTTTAGCTGTACATGAATATAGTAGAAACTGAGAAAGGTGTAAATCCAGCGATCTAAGTAGCCATGAAGAAGAATGTGGCATCAGGATTGGAGGAAGGCTTATTAACCACCTGCAATATGCAGATGACAACCTTGCTTGCTGGAGGCAGGAGGACTTGGAGCCCTTGCTAGGAAGACACGGATCGAAACCTGCAGTATGGGTTGTGGCTCAATGTAAAGAAAAACCCAAATCCTCACAACTGGGCCAAGGAGTAACATCGTGATCAATGGAGACAAGCTTGAAGCCATCAGGGAGGTTGTCTTGCCAGAGCTCATGGAAGCAGCAGTCGGGAGATCAAAAGGCCTGTTGCACTGCCCTCTTCTGGAGCACTGAAGAGCAAGGGTGCCACTGTGAGGACCAAGGTGCCCCTGACCCCGCCATGGCACGCTTTGTTGCATCATATGCCTGTGGAAGCTGGGCGTCGACTAAGGAAGACAAGGAGCGGATGCGCTTGAATGGTGGTGCTGGAGGACAGACTGGACCTTGGACTGCCAGGAAGACAAGCAGTGCAGCCGCAGTGCTCCCTGGTGGTGAGACTTCGTCTTACATACTTTGGACACGCCGTCAGGAGAGGAGGCCCTCAGGAGATGGGTTAGCTTCCACATGGGCTGAAGCGCAGGAACAGCTGTGAGGATGGTCAGTGTTTGTTTCCATCTGTCGGCAGAATGCCGCGGTGGGTCTGAACTCTCTCGGTGGCACCTCACAACAAGTCCTTCCCAATGAAGGAAGTCACGAGAGGGCAGTACATCGAGAGAGCAAATCGGTTACAACAAACAATGCCCTAGTGCAAGACGTATGATGGACAGAGAAAGACAGCAAATGCCAACTGCTACCCGGAAAGAAAAGGGAGCCATCGCTACAGAGCTCTCAGCTACTAAAAGATAGTGAGAGGCCCGCTGTGAGACGTCATACGAGGTAGACATGGTACACAGACCCTCTACAACCCAAACACCAGAGACCTATTGAAACAGGTAAGAACAGTTACCCTGCAACCCTCAGCCTTGGAGGAAGGGGCAGAAGAGTGGAGTAAATCCCAACGAGGAGAAGAAACTGAAGAGCAGCAGTCACAGAGGAAGGACACGTGCGGGGACTGTCAGACAGCCGCACACGGTAGGGTCATCTTGAAACGTCCCAAGCAGACTGGAGACAGCAGCCTGGTACACTGGCAGCGAGCATCAAGAAAGCTGGGGTCTCTGCCTCTTCCCCTCACTCCTGGTGACCAGAAGCATGGTCAGCCCCTGCCCTCACCCATCTAGTGACCCACGGACCTCCCCCTCCGCACCCAGCCTCGGACAAGTCCAAAGCACGTGCGATGATGAAGTCTCGCCATCCTCACGTCCAAGAAGCATTCTGGGTCTATTAATCCTAAAACAGTGGCCACGGGAAAGCCTATGTACAAATGGCTACGACTGGATATAAATCTGGGGGAAAGCTGAGCTGTGCTCCTTACCTCACACCATACACACATAATTTGAAATGGATCATTAACCCCTACCCCCCAAAAAAAACAACGGCAAATTCAAACCAAAACCAACCCGGAAGGAAAAAAAGAAAAAAGAACCCGCCAAGTCCAAGGGTAACTATTCTTACCTGTTTCAATAGGTCTCCGGTATCTGGGCTTAGAGGGTCTGTGTACCAATCACACAACAGGCCTCTCTTGCTGTCTCTTTAGTAGCCGAGAGCTCTGTAGTATGTCTCCTTTTTCCTTCCAGAGAGTCATTTGCATTTTCTTGTGTTTCTGAGACTGTACATCGCTACGCAAGTAGAAAGCCTCGTTGTTTTTCTGCAGAGCCAGGTGGTTTTGAACTGCTGACCGGTGCTTAGTGGCCCGAAGTGTAATCCACTACACCACCAGGGCTCCTAGCTCATAGGCCTAAGCATGTTTCTGATGAGTCTGCAGAATTCTTACCTTTGTAATGTGTCTCCCCCACAATCCCTCTAATCTGTCTTAAATGTTTTTCTCTTGGTCATGCTACTATTATTTTTTAATTCAACAATTAGGTACGGTATGTCCCAGGATGGCTTTCTTTATCGGACTCACGCATGGGAACAATTGTGAGGACAGAGCGGGGAGGGCCGGGCATGGTCCTCTCTCTCCTGTGGGGGAGGGCTGACTCAGTGGCACCGCAACCACCAGGCTTTCTTGATGTCGATTCCACTCAGGGATCACTGAGATTCTGGTTTGAGTTTTCATCAAATTTGGAATGCTTCGGGCTGTCATGTCTTCCTCACACATTCCCCCGACCCGGTGGCTTTTACTGGGATTAGAGCTGCATGTACATCAGACCTTGACATCGTTCCTGGTCTCCACCCCTCTCTGGACTTCTGTTTCACTCTCGTTCCTGTTGGTCTGTTACCAATTTCACTGGTGTTTCCATGTAGTTTCCAAATCCATTTCGATCCTACTCAGGGTATTTTTTTCATTTGAGATATTATAGTTCATTCATCTTGTTCGTTTTCCTGTATGGTCTTGAACATAATTACATGATTCTAGCAGCTCGTGTCTGCTTAGCCCATCACCTGTCATTTCTGGGTCTACTTCTACAGATTGCTATTTCTCCTGGTCATGATCTCAGTTTTCAACTGACGAGTGTTACAACAGTTGATCTTCCTGTGCCAAAGCACAGGCTACGTTCTTATTCCTTTTGGTCTAGACTCAGTGTGGTGAGGCTTGCTTGGGCTTTACAGAGCAAGGTCAGTAACGTACCTGGGGCTAACACAGCCCCACTGCTAGGATGACACTCTCCATGGGGGTTCTTCACGCTGGCGGTGGAAACACAATTCTGAGCCCTCCTGCTTTCTGGCGACCCTTTGCTGGGATTCACAGGGCTTCACCCCCATGCCGCACCAGGACACACACCCAGGGATTCGCTGTGTGTGCCTGGCTGCCCCCCCACCCAGCGAGCGCCGGCTGAGTCCCTCGGTGAGGCTGCTGCTCCCGGTGTGGGCCCAGTGCTCACAGCGCCCCCACAAGTGGGTGGTTTGAGAGAGGAATTCTATTCTCTCACCCCCACCACCTCCTCAGCAGCTGGCAGGCCCAATGGACAGACAGGAAGCTGAGTGCGGGGTGAGTGTCGCATCACTAGGAAACCCAGCTGAGGGGCGGTAGGCAGGCAGCTCCCCAAGGATGAAGGTCCCATTTTCACACTGGTGGGCATTTGCTCCCTTGCCCTGGATGCCCAGTGGGGTCTCAGGACCCTCATCCTCTCTGGTGACACCGCTCCTACTGTGGCCATGCCCAAGCCTCAGTTTCCCCCTCTTCCAAGTCATCCCACGAGCAAAGGGATGTACTCTCTTTCCACACACCGGAAAACACCAACAAGCAAGCAGCCCCCCCGCCCCCACCAGCAGCTGACCCTCTTTCTGCACCTGGTACAGCCAAATTCTGAGCGCTGTGGGGATCCTCCCACCCGGCTTCCCACATTCTCTCTGATCCACACCCACAGAGCTCAGGGGCACGGTCACTGCAGCACCAGGCTCTCCTGCACTCCTTCACTGCCAGCTGCTGATGTCCAGGTGCCCACTCGCTCCCAGGGGTGACACGCCGGCAGCCCGATTCCAGGTGCACAGATTCCGTGCCCTCCGGTCTCCCTTGGGCACCTGCTGAATGCCTCAGACCCGACCCAGTGTGCCCAGATCCGAGCCCAGGCCCTCCCTCTCACTCCCACCCCCAGCCGAGCCACCGAGGAAGCCCAGGGCCATGCCTGACACCTCCGTGAGCTGGGCCTTCCTGGCCCGGCCTTGCCAGCCACGGAGTGTTCTGGGGGCGGGTGGGGGGGTGGTCTGCTGTCCTGGCACATCGAGGTGGGATTTCTATCTTGAAATGTGTGTCCCCGGTTCACACCTTCTACAGTGGGCTCTCCCCTTAGAACCTGCCTCCAAAGCCTGCAGTCCTGCCGACGCTCCCCCTGGACCATGCTGGTCCCCAACCCTCACAGCTCAGCCTCAGCCAAGGCCTTCCGGGGCTGCCACCTAACCTTTGATGCTCTGCTACCCTTTCCCCACCGGCTGTCTGTGCCGGCTGAGCCCAGCACCTCACAGGTGTGCACATGCCCCTCGAGTGCACTCCCACACCCAGCACTGCACATGCTATTGTACACATAAGTGCACATGCTAATGCGCCCACCACCTGCAAGTGCACACCCCACGCTCACCAGCACACACGCTGCACCCTTTAATGCGCTGACCAAGCAAGCGTGCACCCCACATGCCAACCCCGACACTTTGCTGTTCTCTTCCCGTCTAAGTTCCCTCAACATCCAGACCCAGCTGGAGGGGCGGACCGGGAACCGAGGACACAAGACTGCCACAGGGGGACCTCCGAGAGGCTGCAACCAGCCCCTGGCCCCCACCCTCTCCAGGGAAAAAGCAACCAGACAGGGTCTTCTGCCGTACTAATGTATTCCATCTTTCAAAAAGAAAGACATGATTTTAATATTACTTAACAATATGTTAAAGAAGGAGCCCGGCAGGCCTCGTGTTAATACAGTTGTACGCTCTTGAACAGACTTGACGGCGTGTGAGTACTGGGTGAGCAGCTCAGTGCCAACCTTCTCATTCGGCAAGGGTCCTACACGAGCCAGCTACAAGTCAGGGTCAAACACAAATAGCGGGACGTGGACACTCTCAGACGAGCGGGACGAGTGCGGGAGACGCGGGACCACCGGCCCCGCCCACGGGAGGGGGGGGGCGGGACGGCAAGATGGAGAGGCAACGTGGCCACTCGGGCGGCTGCACTCGCCCGGCCGGGTCCAGCGGGCCGAGCTCGTGGCCGGCCGAGGCGCTGGCGGGGAGCTCCGGCAGAGCCACAGTCACAGCGCACTCAGACTACAGGCACACAGCTACAGCTCTTTCAGTGGGCAGCAAACGTGGCTTTCTTCAGGCTGAAGTTGGACCAGTTGATGGACAGTCTTTGTCGCGTCTGCCGCGCGGAGTCCAGGCAGAATCTGCGGAGGCAGAAGGAAAGCACGAGTCGTCAAAGGAAGGAAAGGCAGACCTACCCCCAGGGGCCCTGCTCCTCCTGGCAGAGGGTCCCAACCGGGATGCCCCGTCCGCCACCACCCAGTGAGGCAGGGACCCACATGTTCCCCCCCAGCTCTGTGGGCTGGGGCCGCAGGAGACCCTGCTGATGTCAGGGCTGGGCAGGCAGTTGGAGCACCTCCACGGTGAAGGGACGGCCCAGGCCATGACCAGAGGACACAGAGATGCCCCCCGCCCCCCCCTAGGATGTGGCCTCAAGGCAGGCACATGAGGGCTCGCATACTGGTGTCACTTGAAGTGTGGCACACTGTAGGGGGGCTTTCCAGGGCACCCCGAGTACGGCACACACCCCAGCACTCTCAATAACAGGACGGTCCTTTGTCTGTCATCCATGTCCTCATGCCACCACGCGAGGTCCCCCAACTTGTCCTTCCATTCCTGGTACCCAGAGGACCCCGCCCTCCTGGCCAGTGTGCTCCCAGCAGCAGAGGTGTGAGCCCTGTGGCTCCACCCTCGCCTGGTGGAACATGTTCTGACTTGCTGGCCAGTTTCTCACTGGCTGTACTGACCTGTAGGATGTCTCTCGGTTCACCAAGAGGTCCCTAGTTGGGGGCAATGACTCTCAGCTCACCAAGAGGTCACTCTGCGGGGTCCCTAGTTGGGGACAATGCTTTGTGCTCCCTGACTTCTGAAAGGCTGGTGCCACGGAAAAAAGGCCTAACCATTGAACTCCACAAGGTGATGGCCCAGGAGGCCCAGGGGAGCGGGGCCGATAGCGTATCCTGGATTTCACCAATCCTCATTCAGGATGGACGCTGCTAACCACTGGCCCCTGACCTGCGGAACAGCTCCAGCTCCGCTTTCTTCCAAATGAAATGACCGGCTTGTGGCAGTTCCAAGTCCCAGTTCACCTGCGGCAGCAAATGACTGAACCTGGCTCTTCTAGCCAAGGCCTTGTGAGGGCCACGCAACGAGTGGGTGGGCCTATGCAAATAAGTTGCTGGCAGCCCCCTAATGGGATGAAACCCTCACAAGCCTGGAGCCTCCCAAATGAGGAGGATGGAAACCCAGTAGGGTGCTGGCTTCGAGGATGTCAATTGCAAAGGCCTCGTCACCATCAAGATTCAGAGCCAGGAGCAGAGTGTGTTTGGACCCAGGGCCCATGTGCTGAGAGAACCTGCCAGACCCAGGATCGAGAGGGCAAGGGGGTGGAGTGGGCAGGCTTCCCTGGCAGAGGTCAAGAGTGATGTAAACCTCCACTAAGCAGGGCAGGGCCCAGGCCAAAGAGCCCAGGCCTGGAGAGAGGCCTGCACGTGGGCAAGGCTGAGCGGCTGTCTGTCCCCAGGAAGTCCACACATGTGGGTGTGGTCTGTGAGCTGTGCGAGGCCCTGTTATGCTTTACTGGAGGCCAGCCTGCGGGGCGGGGCCAGCTGGCAGAGGCCAGCGGGCATGTCCGACCTCCACCTCGAAGAAGTCAGCCTTGGCCGATGGCAAGTCTCTCTGTTGATGCCATTTTCAGTCTGGAGGTGACCTCTGAGAATAGTGTCCATCACAGCCTTCCACAGCTCCATCATGAGCCAGGCCGAACTTCTCAGCGACTTTCGACCCTCAGGGGTCGGGGTGAGGGTCCACTGGGCTACGTCTCCTGTTTGCCCAACTCTGCATCAACCCACACTGGGTGTCTTTACAGCGGGCAGGAGGCCCACCTGGCCCCTTTGTCTGCACAGAGGGTCACAGCAGTCTCTGGTGCTTTCCACTTTACTGTACCCGGCGTGGAGAAGAGTCTGAGTGACACAGGTGTATCACAAAGAATAACTACAGGCCAAGCACTGTGTACCAGCCAAGGTTCCCTCTGGGCCCTGCCCGCAGCTTCTTCCCTTCCTGAGACAGCGACCATCGACCATCGTGGCTGGTCCTGGACTTTGTCTTCACATCCATTTATGAACCAAACAGGGTGCTCCCTTTCCGGAAGCCGGCCTCGGAGCTGCCGAATCTAAGAACACATGAAACGGAGCTTCAGCTGCTCCCTTAACGCAGACGGACACAGGCCGTGTCACCAGCCCCAGGAGCAGCCTCCTGCCCTCGTGGAAACCGTGAGATGCAGGTGCGCTGCCTGCCTGCAGTTCTACCTGGGACCCCGCCCTTCACCAGGAGGGCCCCTCAGAGTCGCCCCGTCACACTGTGCGGAGAGCACCAGGCACAGGTTTTCAGATGGGCTGGAGAGTGTTCCTGTCTCCCACGTGGGGGCCCACGAGACTATTGCTGCAGTGAGCGGCACGAAACCCCACACCTGGTTTGGTGGTTTCTGGACTTGGAGTAGACAGACAGGGTCACCTCACGGACGCACGTTTGCGCACAACACTCCGTTTGAGGGGCTGTCCATGATCACGCTGGGCCAGCTGGTCTGCGGCATTCTGTCCAACACGTGTGAGACACACTGTGTTCAAACTCCACAGTCCTTCTCGAGGTCTGGCTGGGGCTGGATGACACCCACAGACACCCAGCAGCTCTGTGACACTAACTTCCCGTCTGCTTGTGGCCAAGTTCATCTGCCCAGCCATCCGCGTGGGTTCTTGGGTGGCTCGGGGCTCAGAACCACACAGGTGCTGCTATACTGGGTGCCGCCAAGTCTGTTCCCAACTCACAGCAAGCCAGGCACCGAAGAATCCAGCACGGCCGCCCAACAGTGGGTGCTCTGCCGCAGCAGACCTTCTTGCGGGAGGGCCATCCTCTAACTGACCCTCTATTTTACCAAGACGGCGTCCTTCCCCAGGGACGGGTCCCTGCTGACCACATGCCCACTGTACGTGCTGAGAAGTCTGACCCCCGCTCTGCCCCAAGGAATGTTTCGCTTGGCCTTCCCAGCGCCCATGGCACATGCAGTGCTGCCTGCCGACCCCAGGAATCAGAGCCACCACGTGCTCTTTAGTCCTTGTCCAGAAACACAACGGCGTCTCCCCAGTTACCCATCTCATGGGCTGTCATTTCACACTTAACAACAACCACTCACAGTGACCCTACCGCACAGGGGCCCCAGAGCCGCCCTGCCGAGTTTTCAATACTAACTATTCATGGGAGTAGAAAGCCTGTCTTTCTCTCTCGGAGCAGCTGGTGGTTCTGAACTGCGGACTGTGTGGACCCAACGCGTAACCACTACTTTGTCCACGGCTGACATAACAGCAAGTGTCAACCTGGGTCCACGCAAACCCAGGTGGGCAGGATTCCCAGGGTTTGGAAGCTTGGGATGATGCAGCCATCCTCCATTTTCCCACCATGCCGACTTGTGCTTACCTGGGGAGCCCAGCGGGCTGCTAAGTGCTGGGGACTCTGACCAGGACGGCGGGTTTTCCAGGTCCACTACGCTAGTCCAACTCATTTTGCTTTGTGCATTTTGAGACTACCTTCTCACGTGCAAAATTACGTTTAAAATTTCCCTTTCGTCCAGATCCATCACACCCATTGTCACCGTGTAGCAGGCTTCTCCGGCCCTGACACTGCATGAAGAGTGCACTGGGCGGCACAGCCCGGGGGACTGGAGCCGGAGAGACTCTACTGCGGCTCCATGTATGGGAACGGGCCTGACAGCAGGGTGTGTGTGTGTGTGTGTGTGACTCTGCCGCAGCTCCATGTGTGGGAATGGGCCTGACAGCAGGGTGTGTGTGTGTGTGTGTTTTAAACCAATGCTGCCACTTTTAACTTTGCCTCCCGTTACATAAAGCGTTTTCCTTGGTCCCGGGTGACTTTACCCTGCCTACACGGTTCCACTATTGCAGTCTTTCCATCGAGCTTCGGGCCTGTCCTGGTGCACACACACACAGCATGCGGCTTACAGATGCAGATGTCCTATGATGACTGCAGTCCACTTACTGTCTATTGAGGTTACTGATGTAACTCAGCTTCTACCTGTCATCTATCTTAACATTCCTACTGACACCTTGTGGGGTTAAAGGGAAGAGGGAACCCCACAAAACATCACAGGTTTGGTAGGCGCAATTGTACAGCAATAATAAGTAGAGATTATAGTAAAGTCATAGAGAGCATGAGAGTTAAAAGATAGAGTCAAGTAATGGAGTCAGACGCAATTCATGGTAGCATTGCTCACCTCAGCCCCGCTTGATGGTCCTTGTGGAGGGGGCTTAGCCGTCAGAGAAGAAGCCGCTGCTTCGTCCTCCTTAGCCACCTTCTCTAGCCACCCTCGGCCAGCCACCTCCCTCAGAGGCATCATTCTTATCCATGGGATCACAAGGGAGTAACAACAGTGGTCCTAAACTGTCTCCCTTTTTTATGGTCCAGGGAAGGCCGGATCTGACCTTTACCTTAATTTCTCCGTTGTGGTCCTGATTAATCACATCTGAGAGCATTTAAATTAGATTTCCCTAATAAAAGTCCAATTGTGCCTTTGGGTAAAGGACCCCGAACTCCTGTCCTGATCGCAGTAGGTTCCTTATCTGGTAAAAGCTGGATGTCTTCCTGACTGGTCAAATTTAGTGAGGAGTTCTCCCTGCTAGTAGAGGATAGGCCTTGGGGGGAGCGGACATCTGACTGCGGACTGGTAGCATTCCCAATGGGGTCCTGCATCTGAGGATTATCTCCTGGGCTCCGTTCAGAGGAGCTCGGAGCACGCCCCGCTACACATTTTTTGGCTGGGCGTTGCTTTCTAGCGGATGTCCTCTATTGCTAAACCTTCAATGACAATTCTTCGCCCAGTGTCTGCCTCTGTTGCAGCAGGGGCAAAGTCCGGGTTCCTTGGAGCCCGTCTCTGGCTCTCTACCTGGGTCTTTCCCGGTGCAAATTGTCCTGTTCCTCTGCAATACCTGCCTGCAGTTTCTCTGATAATGTCCCTCTTCTCCACATGTAAAGCATTTCCCTCTAGGTCTGGTGTGACTTGTCAAAGCAGCAGCCATGAGGTTGGCCCTGTGCTCTGTCCCTACATTCCTGCACAACCTGATATAATCTAACAGTGTGC